CATCAGGTATATGAGAACGTGAAAGGCAGGCGTCGAGAGGATATCGTGGAGCCCTCCCGAGATTAGCTTACCCAGGGCCTCCCAGTCGAAGTGCTCGTCCAGGGGCGTGTTGTAGCGCTCGGCGAAACCGGTGGCCTGGGCGTCACGCGCTTTCTTCTTGGCAGCGTCCAGCTCGCTCTGCCCGCTCCCCCCCTTTGCGTCGCAGCCCCAGGCGACGGGCGAGGGCATCCATGCGGCGAGGTCCTGGAGTGGGTCAAAGCTCTCGTCGATATCCAGGGAGAGCCTGTGGCCCACGGGGGCGCTGCCACGAAACCGGACCCAAAGGCGGGTCAATCGCCCGTACTCTGAGAATACGCGAAGCTGGGACCAGGTGGCGTTGGCGAACATACGTCCGTCTCCCAAGATCAGGATGTTCCGCTTAGCCCTGGTGATTGCCACGTTCAGGCGCTTGGCGTCATCGACGATCCCGTTGCTAGTTCCCGTTGCTCCGCCGCGTAGTTAACACGATTACGATGTCCGCCTCGCCTCCCTGGCTGGAGTCGATTGTGGTGAGTTTGAGCGCCCCGCTCTTCATGTGCTCGCCCGCAATCTGTCGTAGTCCAGGGAAAGAAGAGCTGATAGCAGCGTGGACAGCATGGTCCTCTCGGAACACGTGTTGCCAACGTTGAGTGTCCACCCTGTGGCCTTGAGGGGGTTGTCCAGGGCCGGGTGTGTCCTGTCCATCGCGCCTAGGGCCGTCTCTCCCCTTGCCGGTCTGCCCTTTCCTGCTTCCTTTAGCGTTACGCAGGACGCCGGAGAGGTGGCGAGGACCCTGCGGCCACCCATCCATGAGAATAGCCGTCTGGAGCTGGTATCCGACCACAAGTCTGACAGAGGTGCCATTGTTGAGCTCGGGCAGAAGAGCACGCGCGATGTCCACGGCCTGAGCTGCCTCTGGAAGATTGGCAAAGCCTGGTTGTAGGTCTGAGGTGACCTCCCAGGAGGGTGTGTGAACCATCAGGAAACGGTGCTTGTCTGCGCTTGGCAACGGATCTAGCTGTTCGAGGGTGGCGCGGAGGTCTCCTTCGTCAGACTCGGTGAGCTTCGCCAGCGCTGTCAGTCGCCCGGGCTCCCAAGCGCTAATGCCTCTCCAGGGGATGCCTTCAACGATTGGCCGCTCGCTGAGCGGATCCAGGATACCAGACTTCATGCCTTTCCCGTAGTAGGCTGCGTTCGGGAAGGCGAGCAGCTGCGGATGCATCCGATAGCAAATCGAAAGGTGAACCACGGGCGATTCTTGGCCGCGGAGCGCGCGAAACATCCTGTCGAAGATGCTGACGCAGAGCCCTAGGTCGTTCGCCAGCTTGGAGAGCACCGTGGGGGGCAGCTGGTTCGGGTCTCCAACGAGGACCAAGGTCCCATCACTGTTGATCAGGTTTACCATGGACATGAGCGCATGGGGTTCTGTGGCCTGTCCAGCCTCGTCGATTACCAGGAGGACAATGTGGGGGCTGTCTTTTTGACCGAGGGCCTCTGACGCCTCGTGCGTAGACATGATTACCCTGGCCTCCCGTAGTAAGCTCGCCTTGTAGGGCCTGAAGTCCTGGCTCTTGTCCCCGTCCTGGAACGGGAAATCTCCGTGGGCGTTCCTGTAGTGACCTTCAGGCGTCAGGTCGACGAGTGCCTCATTGACACGGTCCTTCTTTGCCAAGCGCACGAAGTTATCAGGGAAACCCGTGTCTGGATCGAGGCGCCGCTGACGATGTGCTTCGATCATTGCCAGAGCTGGTTGGTCCACCGCTGCGTTTGAACCTGCTGCCAAGGCGACCGCGTGTCCAGGGCGTAGGCAGGAGCCCCACATGTCTAGGCAGGCTACTGAGAAGGTGGTCTTGCCCGTTCCAGGGGGTCCATGCACTAGTGCGGCGTGGTGGCTCAAGGTGGCCTGCAGGGCCCTGGTCGCGTCGCTGTTCGGCCTGTGCTTGTCCAAAACCCTGTGGAGGGTGTCCAGGCTGGGAGTAGGACGCACTCTCTGAAAGACAGAGCCTGTCGCCTCTGAGATCTCCTCATCAGAGAACGCCCTCAGGCCCTGGGGGAGAAGCGGCGCCTGCTGTAGTAGGCCGTCTCCGACAGCCTGCGCGTGGTCGGCGTCGGGAACGCCCCGGTCCAGGGCGGCGGCCGCCCTGGCCCTAAGCTCAGCCCCAGTGAACGAGTGTGCCCCAGGTCGTTGGCCAAAAGTCGTTCGGACCGTGGGGCGTGCACAAAGGCCAAGAGAAATGTCACCGGGGACAACTAGTGGGCAAACAGATCCGCTGGGTTCTGGCGAAGGTAGTAGATCTGGTCGAGCGCCGAGCATTGCCGCCAGAACTGGATGTCAGAAGGGGCTTCGTCCACGCGATACCAGGGAACATCATCGCTAGGGGGGCGTTTCGCCTTTGTCTCGTCTTCGTGGAACTGACTACCCTTCCCACTATTGTAGACCACAATGCACCTGTTAGAGGGGTACCTGGCGGAAGGGCTGAGACCTAGCGTTTGGGCGTCCTTGGGGTGGATGGGGCCTCCCAGAGCAGGTGGCCACCAGACTGTGACGTCTGCGATCTTGTCAACTGTAGGGCCCGTGACGGAAATATACAGCCACCTGCTCTCTTTGTCGCGTTCCAGGGGTCTGGATGCAACCTTGTACATTGAGGGCCACTCCAACAAGAAAAGCTCTTTACCGTCGGGTAGGTTCACAGCATTCCGCAGCCGAAAGGTATCCAGGTCCTCCAGGTCAGTGTTGGCATCGATCTTGGAGACGCGAACTCCGAGAGCACAGTTGCCTCTCCTGGCGAGATCCTCTCGAGTGGAGCCTTTACCATCGTCCACCGTCTCGACCGAGGCCTGGCTTTCCACCTAGGCGATTATCCTTAGCGTTTGTCCTCGGTCCTGGAGAGAGTAAGGCCATTGCGAGGGGAGTCGAACGGCGCCGATCAGCTCCCCGAGCGCTGCCTTGGGATGGACCCTAGAGTGCAGGGGGCCCAGCGGAACTGAGTAGAGACTGGCGACCTCTGAGGCCGCCTGCATGGCCAGCGACTCATCCAGGGCAGCTGGGCTTGTCGGGGAGAGGGCGTCGACCTCCGTCGCACTGTCTTCGGCCAACAGAACTGTTCGCTGCTGACAGGGTGGGCCCCAGGCAGGAGGAGGGCGAGGCGGCGGGGGCGGAGGAGGAGGCATACCCGAGGTGCCTGTAGCCTGTCCAGGTGTGGGATGTGGCCCGATGGTCGATTTCGCTCGCATCCTGTTCCCGTCGCCGCCCTTGGACAGCCTGAGGCCTTCTCTTGCGGCGCCCCGCCTGTCCATCATGTGCGCCCGCACTCTCTCCGGGTCCACCCCGGTGCCCCCGGGGCAGTTGCGCGTTGGCGGATCGTCCCAGAGGGGGTAGGTAATGGGCACGTGTAGCGCGCCATCTGGGATCGAGATGCCAGGGGGCGAGCGGACCCCTTCACGAGTAACCGAGGGCTGGACTGGCCTCCAGCCGTGCCATGGCTTCCGCACGAAGGACACCTGGTGAAACGCATCATAGGCTTCCCCTCCACAATTGCTCCAGAGACTTCCAGGAGTGACGAAAATGTTCGGGTCTGGCCACCCGTCCTGGCACCGTGCCTCCGACATCTCGTAGTGCTTCTCACTTAGGATGTGCTCTGTGTCGTCAACGGGCCCCTGGCAGATCTCGCACCGGCGCCGCCAACCGCCGTGGAAATAGACCCAACGCATGCAGGGACAAAAGCGGGCCAGGAAGACACGCGTGCCCATGCGCTCTGGCGGCCCGTCGTCACTGCACGGCGGGCAAGAGGGCCATCGACGGATGGGACCTTGGTTGTTTTTGGGCAAGTATTGAGAGGAAAATCGGCGGCCGCATGCTGGAGGACGGGGTGCTGCTGACCTGGTAGAGGCCGGGAGTCCTGCGAGCGAAGCGGCAACGCGATATTGAATGAGAGATGTGGCCGGCGCCTCGGCGAGAGCACGGGGCCCAGTGAAAGCTGTCTTCTGTTTCCGCCGTTTGCCCTCCCCTCCTCCTGCTCCTCCGTGCCCTCCTTCCGTCTTCCTGGGGCCCCTCCTGTTTCTCGCAATCCTCACCGTTCCTTCCTCTTCCTCCTTTGTCTCCTCCGTCCCGCCTCCTGCTTCTTTTCCTTCTCTGCCACGCGGGCCCATTCGGCGCGCGGACCAGCCGAGCCAAGGACGACGGCTCAGGTCAATCAGAGTGTCGGAGGTTGGGGGGTGAGATCGAAGTGGAACGGAGAGCCCCCCTACCGGGAAATCGATTTCGGTTTCGTGTTCGTGCGTGCCGTGCGGGCGAGGCGAAGCTGCGCGGGCGGGCGAGAGGAAAGTCTCCTGTGGCTGAGGCGCGGCCGGACCAAATGATTCTCCGCCGGGCGGCCGGCGGCGCGCGGTGTCCCGCCGGTGCCCCGCTGGTGTCCCGTCGGTGTCCCGTCGGTGTCCCGATGATGACGTTGATGATGATTATGATGATGATTAGGATGATGATGGTAATGATGATGATGATGATGATGATGAGATGATGTTGATGATGGCGATGATGATGATGATGATGTTGATGTTGATGATGATGATGATGACGTCGATTGTGATATCGATTGTGAGATCGGTAGTGAGACCGAATGAGACAGCGAATGAAGTCTTCTCTCAGGTTCTCCTCCACCACGCACAGTGTTGCGCCGCTTCCGGGGCCGATCCACGGTGCAATGTCGCGCCGCACCGAGGCCCCTGAAGGACGTAGAGAAGGCCCCCGTATCTTGATTATTGTTTCTGGAGGGCCCTGCTCGCGTCCGGGCCCGTGCCATCTGAGTGGGGGCAGAGCAAGAGGTAGATCGAAGCTTTCCGCTTAGCGGGGTTCGGCGCAAGCAAGGTACCTCGTCCTTGCCGCGCCACTCCCGCGCTCGTATTGATCCGCCCAGTACAGGCTAGGCTTTGCCAGCCGCTCCCCCCGAGCGCGCGCCGTTCCTTCGGGCGGCCGCGCGGGCGCCATGGCCGTCCAAGCGTATCTGTTGGAGCACCGCGTCCATAACATTTCGTGGCGCACCGCCCTCAATGACCATTCTTCCACGCGCCCGAAGGTGCACGGAGGGCCCGTGGTCAGCTCCGTCAAGAACTGCAAGGAATTCGCTGCGCCAGGCCTTGCCAGTGCAGAATGGCGGTGCACCCTGACTTTGCCGAACAGCTTTGCAGCGGGAGATGGCCGTCGGGTTGAGGTTACAGGGAAAGGCGCAAGCAAAAACGAAGCGTCGGAGATCGCTTGCCTTCGAGCCGTCGCTTCGCTCATCAGCGAGTCTCCGAAGGATTTTCTGCTCCGACCTGGGCACTGGAAGGTGTCGCCGGACCAGCTGGTGGCCAATTTGCCCGGCGCCGACGCGGGGCACCAGGCTTTGCCAGCGCGCGCCCCTTCGCGCCTCCGGGGTGCCGGCGAGGAGGCTGGCACGCTTGACGCTGGCGCGCGCATGGTTGCACTTTTGCAACAATGCCTGGACGCGCATGGCGGTGAGTTCGATCCATCTCAGATTTCACGCAACAAGATGGGGTTCAAACCGGAGGACGAGCGCGTGTACCACAAGTTCAACAGGCTCTTGGTTCCTGGGGGGCTCAAAACTTTCATCGAGAGCCACCCCGATTTCACGTGGAGGCCCAAGGGCAAGACGGGAACGGTCATCGCATGGGCACAGGGGGCACGGCAGCTCGCGTTGGACAACGTGCCGCCAGAGGACGACGCGCGAGCACCAGGCTTTGCCAGTGCATCGGCCAAGGAACAGGAGGAGTGGCGCTGGACGCCTAAGGAACAGGACGAGTGGTGGAGCTGGACGCCCAAGGAAAAGGAGGACTGGTGGAGCTCGCAGAATGCTAGCGCCACGGCCGCCGCCGTCGGCTCCAGTTTCGAGGTCGCGACACCAGGCTTTGCCAGTGCATCGGCCGCCGCCGTCGCCTCGGGCGCATCCGCCACGCATTCAACCGGGGAGTGGCTCAAGGCCAACAACCCGTACTATGCGAACGTGGAGTGGCGGAGCTGGCAGAATGCCCGCGCGTCGGCCGCCACCGTTGGCACGGCGGCAGGGGCGCCCCCCCCGCACGAGGACTTCATGAAGATGCTCTCCGACGGAAGGCAGCTGCGGAGGCCATTAGAGGGAAATCCATGGGACGAGTTGTCTTGACTCCCAGTGTCTCGATCGCGCCGAGCAAGACGTAAGTGCAAGGGGGGGGCACGGGCTGCGCCAGGCTTTGCCAGCGCCGAGTGAAAATTGTCTGCAATTCACTTTTCCGTTCCAGTGTCTCAAACCGCTCTTCTCCGAGAGGAGGCGATCGAAGCGCGGCGCAAGGGGGAGCTCCGGCCAGTCTCTGACAGCGCGGAGAAGCGAGACGAGGAGTTTTGAATGAAAGAGGAGGAAAACATGAAGATCCAGGAGGCCATGGTGTCTTTCATCAGGAAAGATCTGAAGTGGACGCACCGCGAGCTGCACGATTCCCTGCTGGAGGCTGAGGTCGCGGTGCCTGTCGTGCCTTCCATCCACAACTACATTTCCGCTCTCCACGCGCTGTGCGGAGACGCCGATGCCGGCTTTCTCCCGCAGTCTTTCAAGTCCCACTCCAAGAAGAAACTGCAGGCCACCCTTCGCATACTCGGCCGCGCGGGCCTCAAACTCGGTGGGGGAATCGATGACCCGAAGCCCGTTCTGGCACAGCGACTGGCGCGCTGGCTCAACCGAGTTCTGGCGGCAGGTCGCCAGGTACCCGGGGAGGCGTCGGGCAGCGATGGCGACAGCGTGGATGATCTGGGGGAGCGCCCACGGCCACAGAAGCCGATCTTGCTGGAGCACACGGCAAGTGTGGGGGAGATCTCGCAGAATGCCGTTGTCACGGCAGAACAAGCGGAGAGCGCACTCGGCAGAACGTTGGCGACGGAGATCGACATTGATTACCCCGACGCCGTGGATGCAGACACAAAGGAGGAAGAAGAGGCACTGGCGGGCCACCGTGTCAACCCGACCGGAGTGGATTATACGTGCATCGCTTGGCAGCCACCGGCGCCAGACATTGCCAGCGCCGCCGCAGTTGGCTGGCCAGCCACTCTACCTGCTCGCCCCTTGGAGCGGTCTGACTTCACGTGCTCTAAATCGGGTGTCGCTGCGAAGTTGCGGGGTGGCCTGGCGGAGCTCGGCAGAACATTCCAGTCCGAGATGGCGGCTGCCCCGTCGGATTTCGACGCGGCCACGCAGACTTTGGACCCGACTCAAAAACTCTTCGCGCAGACGCTGGCAGAATGGGCAGACAAGCGGGTGGCCTGGCGCCAGGCTTTGCCGGCAACGAGCGGGGCCCCAAAAATCGGACCGGCGCTCAGACTGACGGTTCTGGGCACGGCCCGCACGGGGAAGACGCACACTGCCCAGATCGCCATCAACCAGGTCCGCAAGAAGTTCGGGTCGTACGACAGTGTCCTCACCATGGCCTTCTCCGGCGTGGCAGCGGCGAACCTCGGGGGCGGAGCGAGCACGATCGACAGCATCTCCCACACGAACCGCGATTCCGCGAGTGACGACTTGGCTGGAGACAAGTTGGATGATCTCGTCGACCTGCTCGAGCACGTGGAACTGTTGGTTGTGGAAGAGGTGTCCACGTGCGGGGCCGCCTCTTTCGAGATCGTCAGCACTCGTATGCAGCAGGTGGCGCGCGTGCTGTGGCGCAGACGGTTTCGCTGCCCACCGCCGGAAGACATGGGCCCGTTCGGCAGCGTCGGCGTCGTTCTCATGGGTGACTTCGCACAACTGCCGCCAGTGCTGGCCGCTAGCTTGCTCCCGGGCATGCCTCGCGTGGGCGCGGGCGGCCCGACTGATCGAGCCATGGCGCTGGCCGGCCAGAAGACCTTCGCCGAATTCGAGGACGTCCTACGTTTGCGTCGTATCCACCGCCGATGCATTCAAAGAGTCGACTATGAGACTCAGAGATGCGGCGATCACAACGGAGGATTACGCTCTGTGGAAGACCCACGAGTTGGACACGATGAATGGCTCGGACCTTCAGTCTGCCCACACTTGCGCGTGGCAAGGCGGTGAGTCTCTCGTCCGCGAGGGGTTGGTTCTCGTGCCGGAGAACCAAGCTGTCGGGAAGATCAACGGTAAGCAATTGGCAGCCAGGGCACCCCCTCACGGCGCGCCAGGCATTGCCAGCGCGGGGGGCGTCGTCGCGAGGACAGAGGCACGACGCAACGACCCGCGCGGATTACACAAGAGTGCCGATGACTTCCGGCAACTCCGCAGGGCGCTCCACCTGTGCGTGGGGGCGCGGGTGATGTCAACGCAAAATTCTTTGCGGGGCGCCCCCACTGTGCCCCTTGGGCCCATGAGTGGGGCTCGGGGGGTGGTCGTCGCCATCGCGTGCGCCTCCCCAGGGGAGCAGCGAACTGACCAGAGTACACTCGCTGGGGTCGGCCATCCCAGCCCCGCCCTCGGAGCGTTTTCCCGGGGGGAGCCCGCTTGCCCAGTTCCTGACTTCGCGGTCGTGCATTTCCCCGCGTACACGGGCCCCGCTTGCTTCGACAATCCCCCAAGGACCTGGGTACCGGCCCCCTGCGCAGAGGTGCGGCACAAGACCTTGCAGTCGCTGACTCGCGCCGGCATACCCTTGCGCCTGGCATGGGCGCTCACCATCCACAAGTCGCAGGGCATCACGGCGCACGAGGGCCGCGTCGTCTCCTGTGGTTGTTGTCGAGGACCCAACCCGGTGGGCAAGCTCGGGATGGCCTTCGCGGCATGGGCCCGTGTCACGAAGTGGGAGTCTATGGCCTTTCACAAGCCCCCACCCTTGACGGACTTTCTGTCCGCGCACCTGACAAAGGACTTCTTCGCCAGGGCGGAGTTCGAGAGCAAGGCAGACGCCATGTTTGCCAGACTGCTCGAGCGAAGAGGCACTTCTCCTGAAGCATTAATGGCTGAGCGCGAGCAACACTTCCGGACCACCGCGCTCGCAAAGGAAGGGCGCGAACCGAATGGTGCTGAGCTGGCAGATCTGCGGGCAATGCTGTCCGCGGTGGGCGTCGCGCCTGTCAGTGACAGCGCCTCCCGGTACTGCGAGGAGCAATCGGGCCGCAAGGCCACCGGCCTGCGGAATATCGTAGCCTCGTTCCGCGCACAGAAACCGAAGAAGAAGCCGGGCCAGGATTTGCCAATCCGCGGGAAGAGCGGCTCCGGCGGGAAGACCTCGTCGACGCAGACGGGCACTCAGGGGCCCGCGGCTTCGGAGGCGGATGCCGCGGCTGAGACCTCTGCGGCGGCGACGATGATCGACGCGGGCTTCAAGGAGGTTGACATCGCCCGTGCGTTGGAGCAGACGTCGTTCCAGTTCCGGCAAGCGCTGGTGCTTCTGCTCAACGGCCTGGACGCGCAGCGCACAAAGTACGACGCACTCGAACGGTTCCGCCGCCATTCTGCCAAGACGGTCCGGGCTCTGGACTGCGAAGTTTTGGGGGGTGGCGGAGTATCAACGCAGTACTCGCAGCGCGCGCGCAGTGAGCTGCAGTTCGACGCGCATGTTCGGGACCTGGGGCAGCATGCGGGCCGAAACTCGGGTGCGTGCTTCTGGCTATGCCTGGCAGCAGGCCTCGCCGAACGCGGGCCAGACGTTCTCGCCCAGGTCTTGCCAGGCAGCGCTCCAGCACGTCGAGCGGCAGGCCAACTGACAGCACAGGGTGTGCAGCGGTGTGTCGACGCTGGCGTGCGTCACTCGCCTTTGGGCGTGGCGGCGGAAGCTCTGCGGACCCAGTTCTGCGGCGGCGAAGCCGCCGTGCTGCTCAGAGCCGACATGAAGAACATAATCTACGCAACCTTTGCTGGCCTGCATGTCCGGGGCCCCGTGCGCACCGAGGCGCTGTGCACTCGCTGGGTGCAGAAGCTGGCCACTAAAGAGTACGCGGACGAGTTGGTGGTGATGTCGGTCGCCTTGGAGTTCGGCATCCGCATCGCTGTCGCCCCCTTCGCTCCACCGACGGCGCTGGCGCAGTGCGCAATCACGTCCTATGGGCCAGAAAACGCCACCGTCGTTGTTCACATGGGCAACAATGATTTGCATTATGTTCATCTGTCGCGCGAATCGTGATGGCGCCGGGCTTTGCCAGCGCAGCTGTTCCAGCGGGCACGGGCTGCGCCAGGCTTTGCCAGCGCAGGGGCTTTCCCAGAGGGCAGGAGCTTTGCTATAGTGCTGTTAGGGGGCACGGGCTTTGCTGCAGTGCACGGGTTTTGCCAGCGCAAGGCCTTTCCCAGCGCACGGGCTTTGCTGTAGTGCTATTAGGGGGACACGGTGTATGCCAGGCTTTGCCAGCGCTTCGGTATTCTCTGACTGCATGAGGCACGCTTTCGCTGGGCTTCCAGCCGTTTGCGCTGTTTGAGCAAGGGAAAAAGAGCTATGATGGCGGTACATCGGTCTCGACCGCCGAAGGGCAGCCGTTGAGCAATATTTTAAAGCGATTTAGTCAGTGGCGACAAGAGGGGCTTCAGCAGGCCTCCGACAAAAAAATCTCCACTGGCATCGTCAGGAGAACAATCACCACTGTTGCCCATTGCTCGGCCCCTCCACCCCCCCCCAACCTCCTTATCACCCGTAGGGTGGTCGTATAGGTAATGAATTTGACGGCTCTAAGACTGAGTGGAGCTCCTGTTGGTGCTTTTGTATACCACCGGAGGCCTTTTTGGGCTGTCCTGGGGCCCTCGTGGGCTGTCTGGGGGGGCTTGGGCCGTCCTGGGGCTGTGTTGGGGCTCTCTCGGGCCCTCTCTGAAGCATACCGTGGCTCTGTTGGGGCCCTCTTGGAAGTCTTTTAGGGGTCTTTTGGGCGCTCCCTGGCTTTCTTGGCGCTTTATTGGCCCATCTTGGGGCCCCATTGGGCCGCCTGGAGGCCATCTCGGGGCGACCTCGGAAGCTCGCAGACCATTCTTGGGCCGTTCGTGGCCTGAAAAGGCGAGAAGCACAGAGTCGTTCAAAAACCAATGGAAAATTAAGGTTTTTGGCCTGCTGAGGCCGTATTGGAGGTCTTTGCGGGGGCATCCTGGGTCGTCTTGACCCCATGTTTGGTCCTGTTGGAGCACCCTGGGGCCGTCTTGGGGCCTCTTAAGCCTTGCAGAGGACGTCTCGGAAGTGCCTTCTGCTGTCTTGGGCTCCCGATGTAGGC